AATTATTGATTGATATTTGTCTACTACAAGATAAAAGACTTATAGCACTATTCTGGAAAAAATACGGACCAAGTATCAAAGAATGGATCAGGCAAATGCTGAAGAATTTACCTGTGGAACACATAACATCTCTCCAAAAGGGGAAAAGTGAATTATTTGAAAATATTTGTAAGCAGATGTAAGCAGATTTCTGACTTTTTTCTCAGAATTCTGACTTTAATCTCAGAATTCTCACTTTTTTTCAGAATTCTGACTGATTTCTGACAATAAAAAAGTCTGAATTCTGAGAAAAAAGTCAGATTTTTGAGATCAAAGTCAGAATTCTGAGAAAAAAATCAGAATTCTGACTTTTTTCCCAAACTAAACTGAAATAAAATTTTAAAATCAGTACACATTTTTTATTTTTTTTTTTTCCGATGGCCCTAATCCTCTTCCGTAGTTGAGGAGGAAGAAGTCAGCTAAAGAAAAACATTTATGTCGGACCAAAAGGTTAAACAAGGTAGACTCAGCAATGGACTTTTATCTTCTGTATCTCCAAAGGAATCTATGCAGATATGTGCCAGAGAGGGCGTTTGTTGATGTTGTTTATTGTATTGGTTCTATGGCAGATACATCTGTAAGAAAAAAAATACAATAGAATAACTGTTAAAAAAAATATCAGCAAGGACAAAAAAAACTGACCCTGTTTGTAAAATAAAAAACTCATCACTAAGTAATAAACTTGGTCTAAAAAGTCATTAACAGCCCTGAATTAGTAAGCCGCTCATGCCAATGATGGCCGGGTTCATTATAGAGGACATGTTGGAGAACTAAAGGAAAGGAGCAGTGGATGCTGGAGGGGCCGTTTGGGAGATTTAGGAGCACTCTTGTTGAGCCACTTGGGGACGGAAATGTCAAAAACAAAAATAATAGTAATTATCTTTGTTAATCTTTAAACATGCAAACATTTTACCATCTGAAAAACCAGGTGGACTGATTATTAATGTAAAACTGTCAAAATAGATCCTATCAGTGGTTCGAGTGGGAATAGGATGGCATGGAAACAAACACTTCTTAACCCTGAGATATACTTACATCCACACGCATTTGCAGAAAAAGGAAAATAACTTTTAGGAAGACAGATAGAGGATTCATCGTTCAGCGGCTTCTTCTCCTCTTTGGATGCAATGCGAGAGACAAAGGCATGGGATAGGGTTGGACAGCAGACATTTCTAAGCCATAGGGGTTCAATGCCCCAAGCCACATTCAGTGACCATGACACAATGTGCCCCCTGCGGTGTGAGCGGACGCCGTGGAATAATACTAGACCAGGGAAAAGCTGCACAACCACAGGGGTGGACTGTTGTGACACAAAATGGCTGAGTGGAGGGAGGCCGTGGCATGAAATGACATTTGTCAGAGAGACATTAGCTAACTTTGTGGGGGGTCAAAGTGGGGGAACTCTTACATTGACCTGCTTGATGCTCTGTCCCAGTAATGAAAGGATGTGCGAATAGAGAATTTATTCAATAAACACTTTATATCTTTAACTGATTTTATGTTTCAGATGAAAACGTTTACCATTCCTGGGAAACTAATGCATTTCAATGTGAAACTGATCTCATTGTTTCAAAGCAAATTCTGTTAACAGCTTTAACCTTTGTGTCCAAATGATAAAAAATGGAGGAGAAATCCACCAAGTTACCTCTTTATATATCACGTTTCTAAGAATCGGTTACCTCAGCGGTGCATACAGTAGCTTTTCAGGGTGATTAGCCTAGCTGCTTCAAACATGACGCGGTGGAACAGAATGAGACAGAGAGACAGTGCCCACCCCTGGGGGGTCCGGCAGGGCCGCGTTTCCCCCTATGGAGCTGGGCCACTGCCCACTGAGTTTCCCATGACCATTCATTTTGGGAGAGCTTGGAATGATGACGGCTTCTGAAGGCCAGAAACAATAAACAGCAAAAAAAGCAGGTGCAGAAATATGAATCTGAGCTTCAGAGCTTTCATCCTGTTTATTTCATTTTCTGGGGGGGGGATACAGTATATTCCCAAGTCTCTAAAGCCATCTAGACCCAGACATCGATTCTGCTTGTGTTATATTCACTGTCACCCCATCCTAAACAAAACTAAACAATGGTATTTCTTTTTTTTATGTATTTCAATTCCCAAACCTTTACCTCAAACTCTGTGTTTTCTGTTATTTCCTGTCCTGCAGGTGATTGTGATTCATTACGGTTTGAAGCAAACAGAACAACCTGAGGAACAACAAGAACCCAACATCTGGTAAGACCTTCAGTCACTGCAGCAGCTTTTTTATTGTTTATTTTTCTACTTTGAATAACAACCATTTCAGTGGCGCTCAGTGGACAGAGTAGTCGCCTTGCGCTTTGATTCCAGCTGCTGATTGTTGATGTTCTCCTGTGCTTCTGACCTGTACGGGTGGAGGAATGAGCATCTGCCGGTACGCGGCATTGGGTGGTTGACCTGGTCTACGTAGACGCTGCTTTATACATAGACGTCACTTTGATTTTCTTCAAGTTATTCATATAAAAAAGCACCACGAATTATAAAAAAGTTAAACTAAGGGGAGAACTGGAGGATGAGTTGAAATGTTAAAAGCTGAACTTCATGATGGTTTTATTTCTTTTTTTTTCTGTCGGTTGGTTTTCCCATTAGGACTTATGTCAAAGTAAAATGGTTTGTTGCATAAGTGGTGTTTTGTAAGATTTGTAATAAGCGAAGTGGGAACAGTGATGGGCCTGCCTTGCTTATTTGGTTTTCTATTTTTATCAGGAAGAGGTGTCAGCAGACTGGAGTGTAATCTCACCGCGGCCCTGACTACTTATTGGCTGCTCTGTGTTGCCATGAAAAGTTCATTAGCTTGAGATATTTCAACACGGATTTGCCTTTAAGGCGCTCATACACCGTCACATCAAAACCCCTTGGTAACTAAAACAAGGAGGCGACCAATGAGAACGCTTTCTGCAAATAAAAGCAGCCAAAGTGCCTCCTAATAGGCTTCTTCTCTCAGCCAGTTAAAATACAGACTTTAAAAGCAACATGTCTGAACTCCAGCTCTAATCTTCATTTATTCATTGATTTATAGAGAAACAAGAAGAATGAATAGGAGATTTTGTTAGGATTAAATGGTTGAATAGAATCCTTCCAGCACTAGAAGACTGGTTTAGATTGTTTTAGATATATCTAAATTAGAAAGGTTGACTTTATCTTTAAGAATCCATAGGGGGAAAGATGTAATAATATTTGGAATTAATGGTTTGGGTTTCAGAAAATATTTTTTTATAATAACCTTCTTGGTGCTCTGTCTCGACCTTCTTGAATTGGAAACTTGCTCTTCTTTAAGAATAAGTAAATAGATTCTTCAGCTCCCTGTTAAAGCCACCATGTTTCACTTCAACAGATATTTATAGTTTGGTTCTTTTTTTTTTTTTTTTCATTTTTCTGGCTTTTGTTTTTATTTTGATTAAATATAATTTTTTATTCATGTTAAACCTAAAGTAGAACAGATTTTCTGGGTAAAACTGACTGTGTTTTCATCCTTTTCAATAAGAAATGAATTGGAAAAATTAAAAAAAACTAAAGCTCCACAGTTATCTGTTTGTCCAACCTGCACATATTAACTCTCCAACTGTAAACAAGCACACATTTAGCTGCTGTATGAAATTCGATTTAACTGCTTCTAAATCACTCTGCTTACAAATGTAATAAAACAAATCATGCTTCTTATAAATTGCAAAGATTTTCATGGACGCCAGCGACCAGCCTGTCCTACGACACCAGAATGAGGCTGAAAACGGATCATTTCATCACAAACTCACATTCTGACTTCAGGCAGTTTCCTTAAATGCTCTTTTAAATGTTCCACTTTGTGTTTCTGTTTGATTATATAGAAAATAGGTGATTTTATAAAAAAATACTTTGTGTGTTGGGTGTGGTTATGTCATTATTTATCCTTATTTAAAAAAAAAAAACTGGTTCATATTTTCCACAAGAAAAAACAAATAAAGGTCAAATAAATAAAGAAATACGTAAACATCTCTTTTTAATTTGAAATAAAATAGTAGATTTATTTTATAAGGCAGAAGCTCCAATAAACCTTATTTCCCAAACATCAAGCAGCAGCTTAAGTTAAATTTAAATGCCAACATTTTAGTTTGCTTGGTTTTTTGTCACCAGAACCAACACAAACCCATGTCAGTGCCGCTAACATCCACTAAAGCAGAGGTGCCAAAAGTATTCAGGTTTTTAACTCCAGTAGAAATATAAATCCTACTTTCTAAGCAAAAACAGGGACTTGTTTTTGGTCCTCTCTATAAAGCCTGGAAATCAACCCTAATTCTGACATTTTGAATTGAAAAAGCTTCCTGGATGGGAAACAAAACGTCTTCAAACTTGGAAACAAAGTCCAGCGGGTTGTTTTATTAACTCTTTTCTAGAAATCCTGCTGCTTAGAAACACTTTTATAGAAGTTAGAGAATCAACTTCAGCTTTCTACTCCAGTAAAAGTGTAAATGTACTATTTTTAAAACTACTTAAAGTATAAAAGTCAAAGTAATGCAGGAATAAATGTTAAGGACGGAAGCTTTACTGCTCTACCCTATTAAAGGAACATTTTTCTACAATTCTGGATGAAAACTTCCTTAGACTTCATTTTCTTAGTTTTATTACTAATTGTAACATTATCACATTTAACTTTGCATCATGTTGAAAAATAATTTATTTTGGTATTTGACAAAGAACAAGCAAATTATTTAGATGGTTTTTATTGTTTTAAATACTAACAGGCCACAATGAAAATAAGCTTCAATGAAAAAACTACAGTCTATTTTTAAAAATTTAACTAGAAGAAGTAAAAAGTTGTCTAAAAATAGTTATTCTAAGATAGTATAGATAGCAGACATTTCTAGTAAGGAAGTAAAGGAACGGAGCATTTGTACTTTCACATCTCACAACTCAAGGTTCTTTGGAACAGAATCACCAAATCATCTTCATACCTTAACGGGTTAAAAAGAAGCGTATCCACCGTCATCCAGATCCCTCTTGGTTGATGTTCATCTCAGCCAGATTTTACCTGCTTATATAAATATAAAAAAACGAATCAGTCCTAAAATAATTTAGCTTGACAGAAAGATCATCCAGATATGAGCTTAAAGTAAAGGAGAAATGATTCCATCAGACCTGACTGCCGTTCAGATCCTCCATTATAAACACTAGTTAGCCTAAGCCTAAACCCCCCAAAAAACAAACACATTATTACTGATGTATCTATGTGATTTATTTTGGCAATATCTAGAAAGATATACATAGATCATGCATAAATACTGTAGATCAGTTATGCTCTTACTTTTAAATCCATCCCAATTATTAGTTTAGGTTAAACTGTAAATATTGATAAACAATTAAATAAAAAACCTTATTTTAAATAGCTATATTTCTTTTCCTGTAAACTCATTTGCTAATTAAATATTTCGACCCCCAAAATACGATGATATTATGCGCCTCAAATAAAAGATAGCGGAGGTTTTTCTTATTTTAAAAGCAATCATTTTATTCCTTTGGCTGATCATTTTACCTCAATTTAAAGAAACTTTAACTTCAGTTTTTACTGTGATGGTCAAAAGATTTTTTTAAAGGAACAGTAAAAAACAGCATCACCTGCATAAATAGATGAATGGCATGTTTGTTCTTTAACAGATAACTAGGACTCATGTAGAAGCCGTGAGTTCATGGTAAAAAAACAACATGGAGCCAAACAAAGATGTTCAGCTTGTGCTGTGCACTGATCCAGAGCTCAGGCTTTATTTAGAGACTCGCTCTCAATACCAGACAAACTTCCTCAGGTCAACTAGTCCTACATTCAACAGCATTAAACCATAAAAAAAAGCAGCAACTGGGAATTTTGGCATTTAATGTAATTAGTTATTGATTTCTGCTTTTGTTTGCTGCGGAGAAAACATGAGTGTTTGACAAAGAAGAGGAGCATAAATTATTAATACTAGATTATCATTTTAACAGAGCGCATTTTTACCTCCATGTTTTTATACGTTTGTTCTAAATTCCTAGTATTTTGTTGGAAGGTAGGGAAGAAAAACTGGGACAGAAAGCGGATTTTTATTTATTATCTTGGTGATATTAACAGTTATACTCTGTAAACTTGTTCTAACTTGTTTTAAATTCTAACATCAGTGCTTAGTGATTATTCTCTTACATTCAGGGGGTGGCAGAGATATTGTTCTTCATTTTGTTTTCACAGTGATAACAGATTAACCGATGGCATAGAAAGGCATCTATGGACAGGATGCTGATCACTTTGGGAACATGAAGGTCATCATCGGGACATAACATCACCACAGTGTTTTAGATATATTTAAATTAGAAAAGTTGACATTCTCTTAAAGAACTCAGAGGGAAAAATGTTTTAATATTTGGAATTAATGGAATTAATCTGTAATCCCATTCAGAGATGATTTTTTTTCGTAATACTTATTTCATAACCTTATTGGTGCTCTGTCTCGACCTTATTGAATTGGAAAAAAGACTAGAAACTTGCTCTTTTTTTAAGAATTAAAAGAGATTTTGCAGCTCCCTGTTAAAGCCACCATGTTTTATTTCAACAGATATTTATAGTTTGGTTCTGTTTTTTTTTTTATTCATTTTTCTGGCTTTTGTTTTTGTTTTGATTAAATATATTTTTTTAATTAATGTTTAACACCTAAAGTAGAACTTATTTTCTGTGTAAAACTGACTGTTTTCATCCTTTTTCACTAAGAAATGAATGGAAAAATACAAAAACGAATATTCCACAGTTATGTGTTTGTCCAACCTGCACATATTAACTCTCCAACTGTAAACAAGCACACATTTAGCTGCTGTATGAAATTCGATTTAACTGCTTCTAAATCACTCTGCTTACAAATGTAATAAAACAAATCATGCTTCTTATAAATTGCAAAGATTTTCATGGACGCCAGCGACCAGCCTGTCCTACGACACCAGAATGAGGCTGAAAACGGATCATTTCATTACAAACTAAGGTTCTGACTTCAGACAGTTTGCTTAAATGCTCTTTTAAATGTTCCACTTTGTGTTTCTGTTTGATTAGATAGAAAATAGGTGATTTTATAAAAAAAATACTTTGGGTGTTGGGTGTGATTATGTCATTATTCATCCTTAATAAAAAAAAAAACAACAAAAAAACTGGTTCATATTTTCCACAAGAAAAAACAAATAAAGGTCAAATAAATAAAAATAAAAAAACAATAACATCCCTTTTTAGTGTTTGATGAATATCAATTTTTATTATTGTTAAACCTAAAGAACTGATTTTGTGTGTAAAAATGACTGTTTTCATCCTTTTCAATAAGAAATAAATAGAAAAATAACACGAAAGCTCCACGGTTATGTGTTTGTCCAACCTGCACATATTTAACTCTCTAACTGTAAACAAGCACACATTTAGCTGCTGTATGAAAATAAGATTTGATAATAAGATCCCATTTTTTGTTGGTCGTTTGAAGCGATAGATGAGAATTGTTCTGTTTTTATTGCTGTAAATGTTAACGGTTGCTGAAGTGATAGTGAAAGTTAAAGCTGCGTCCGGATGTTAACGGTGAGCTCGTGTTTTCCCTGGTTTCCCTGCGGTACGGCAGAATTCCAGTAAATTTCCATGTGTCTCAGCAAACAGGACAAGCCTAGATCTGTACAGTGAGTAGAGCACAATGCATATGAGTATATCAGTCCCCTCTGCTGCTTATTTACCAGCTCTGTGACAGACTGGATCTGAAGATAAACTAGGGCAAACCTCTGTAGGCTTTGTTATATCCCAAACTCTCTGGTGAGAAGAAGCCAAGGTGTAGAACTACTCTAAATATGTTTTTGCTTCTTGAGAAAGAACAGGAATCATCAAGTAGAACACATCCATGCAGTGAAGGCCATAATGTGCAGACAGATACTTTCTCTGCAATACTGAGTTGAAATAGGAGCAGCTAGCTCGCTGCGTCCTCTAGGGTTAGGAGCTAAAGGTGTCACAGACTTCCTGGAATTATTGGTTCTTTCTATAGAATCATAAAAATAAAACATTTTTAGACGCATATTTTTACCCTGGAACTGTAGAAGGAGCAGTAAAGTTTCAGGCTGTGAGTCCAGAAGGTTCCACACTAATTCTCTTTATCTGTTGTTTTTATTTTTATTATGACAGAACATGCACTTGTGGTTTTGGAAGGACTTTGATGTTTTTGGACTATTTAAAGCTGAACTATTTGAAGTTGAAACTTCTCCTTCAGTCTGCCAACTGTACGCATCTGAACAGAAGAGCTTCTCTAAACATCATAAATGCATCGGCCTGTTGTTCATTACTCCTTTGCTTTATGCTCTGACTCCAACTAAAAGGTTTGTTTTTTTCCTCTTTGACCTTAAAATTATCCAGATGACTTTTTTCTTTTACGTCTGTTTCCAATTTTCTGAAGAGGGAGAAGCAGAAGCTGGGATTGCACAGGTGACATTTGGTATTCGCTGCAAACCTCTGCAGATTTCTACTCAGAGATTCTATTCTTGTTACTGCTGGGATCTTACTGCTCTCCCACTTTCTCTCTTGCTGACTGTTTCATTTTTTCTACCCATGGACTGTGAGGGATTTTGCTGTCCATGGGACCACTCTTGTTCAGTGATTCCCTCAGTTCCATCTGCCCTCATCAGTCTTTAACATTCCAACTACATTTCAGTTTGTCCCGTATAACCAGTAGGCCTACTCTAGTTGAGGGGAGGATGGCATTCCCTTT